TTACTTTAAAAAACTAATAAGTTAGAGGGAGTGTTCCAAGTTTTCCCCCCACAGACTGAAAATCATAAAATAAGGCAGCAGAAGGGACCCAAAAGGCTATCAAGTCCAAACCCTTGTTCAATGCAGGTATCCAAATGAAAGTATATCTGGCAGATGGTTGTAATTTTCTGTTGAATGTCTCCAGTGTTGGAGTGCTCGGCACTTCCCGAGGTAATTAGTTCCATTGTTGTATTGTTGCACTTGGGATATTTTTCCTGATATTCAAATGAAATCTGGCTTCCTGAAAGTTGAGTCCATTATTACATATCCTGCACTTGGAATGATAGAGAACAAATTCTGCCCCTCCCCGTGTGACATCTTTTCAGGTATTTGAAGAGTGCTATCGTAGCTCCCCAAAGTCTTTTTTTGGGGGGTGGCTGGGGTAGGCTAAACAATTCTTTCTGTATTTCCTCAGAAGGCTTGCTTTCCATTCTTCTGATCATTCTTGTTGCCCTCCTCTGAGCCTGTTCCAGTTTGTCTGCATCCTTCTTAAACTGTAGTGTCCAGAATTTGACACAGTACTCAAGACATGGCTTAACCAGTGTTGAATAGTTCCCCTAACTAGTACTTTGTAGGATTTGGAGATGATATTTTTTGTTAATGCAGCTTAAAATAGCACTTGCCTCTTTTGCAGTTGGATTACATTGTTGGCTGAAATTCAGCTTGTGATGTACAACAAGATCCTTCTAACTCCTAGTATTACTGAGCCAAGTATCCCCCATCTTGTAAATGTGCATTTTAGTTTTTTTCCCCTCGGTATAGAGCTTTGCACTTACCACTGTTAAATTTTTATTTATTGTTTTTGCCCCAGTGCTCACGTCTATCAAGATCTTTCTGAATTTTGTTTCTAGCTTCCCAGGTATTAGCTATTCCATCCAATTTTTGTGTTATCTGCAGATTTAATAAGCATTTTCTGGAGCTCCTCATCCAAATCATTAATAAAAAGGTTGAAAAGCACCGGGATCAAGACTGAGCCTTGTGTTACCCCACTTGTTTACCTTTTCCCAGTCTGAGAGGGAGCCATTGATAAACATTCTCTAAGTACAGTTCGGTAACCAACTAATTATTTACTGGATAGATGTTCTATACAGCCCACATTTAGCTTCCTAATCAGGATATTGTGGGGCACTTTGTCAAAAGCATTATTGAAGCAGAGATACACTACATCTACAGCTTTCCCACTGTCTACCAGGGAAGTTACCCAATCAAAAAATGATATACGACTAGTCTGGCAGGATTTGTTCTTGACAAATCTGTGTTGGCTTCTAATCGTTTTGAAGGTTGTTGCAGATTAGCCACTTTATAATCTGCTCCAGAATTTTCCCTGCGATTGATGTCATGTTGGCTGGTCTGCAGTTCCCTCTTTTTGCTCTTTTGAAACGTAAAGATGTTAACCCTCCTCAAATCATCTGGCACTTCAAGCACTGTAATGATTTTCAGAAAATAATAGATAGTGATTCTGAGAGTTCTTTATCCAGTTTCTTCAGTGCTCTTACATCCAGTTCATCAGACTATGAAGATTTGAACTCATTCAAAATAATGAAACACTCCTTGACTATTTGTCAGTACAGGTAATAATGAAATTATGCACCGTCAAGTCAATTCCAACTTATGGTAACTCTTTCCAGAGTTTTCTAGGTATAAAGTACTCTGAAGTGGTTTATCTTTCCCTTTCCTTGGGGTTGTTCTGGAATTATGCAGCTTGTGCAAGGCCACATAGGCAGTCTCTTCTACCAAGGATGCTCAATGGTGAATCAAACTCTCAAACTGTGGCTTTGCAGCCAGATACCTATTTCACTGAGCTATCCAGCCAGCCCACTAGAGATATAATTGTTTAAAACACAATTCTTCATGCTTTTGAAAGGTAACTAAAATGTTGCTTTTTGTTACTTTTCAAATGTATCTGCATTTTACTAGCTGTTGACTTTGGTTACAAAACATTTTATCCTCCTGTACACCTTGTTATTGCTTGATTACCCACATTAGTGCTCCGGGCAACAGCAAGAAGCTCAGCACAAGCCAGCTGATGCACCATGTGATACTTCTCCTCCATCATTTAGTGAGGTGGGAGGGGATGGAGGTGGGTACTCCCAGCAAGCCATCTGGCCCCAGCACACAGGTAGCTGGGAGAAGAGGGTTGCCTTAGGATGAGGCTAAGTGGAGAGAGTCCTTACAGCTGCAGGGGAGTCAGGGTTCTGATGAGATACAACTGGAGGTGGCTGGGCCAAGGAGAATAAAAGAATGGAACCGGGAAGGAAATGGGCTGCTGCCTATCTAGGAAAAAGAGGACATTTAGGAGGATCCCAGAAGCTGTTTATGCTTGTCAGGTTCATTGACTTGCAACAGGGATCAGTTAGCAGAGAATCCAGCCAGATGCTTGGGCAAGGCTACATCAGCCTGGATGGTGCCCCAGCTCTTGAGAGGCATGTGAGGGAAAGGACTGGGAGAGACAACCTGCAGAAACTGAGTTCTTATGCTCATTTATACAGGCCTTCTCTAAAAGACATGCATAGTGGACCCAAACTCCCTCCTCCTTCTTGCCTTCCTAAACGTAGACTCTGGGGGAATTCCAGTGAAACTAACTGGGTCCCCAACCAGATAAGTACTTTAGAGTACTTAATTTGACTCTATGAAACTATGGGAGAAAAGGCAGAGGGAATGGCTGCTGTAATTCTAATAAAAACTGATATGAATCAAGAAACTGAGCTGGAGACCATGGAGTTATTAACACCCTGGCTGTGCTGGTGAAGGGTCTGGCGGGGTATACACTGGCACCCTATGTGGGGCAACTCCATTTGCCCCAGAGGCACTGTTACAGTAGCATTCTTGGACTACAGAGAGGCAGGAAGGGCTAGTTCACCAGCTCATAGAACAACAGAACCAGCTGCTAAACTGGCTTTTTGCAGCTCAACCACAGAACCTAGCCCAGGTGTTGCAGCAAATGATGACCTTGCTCCAAGGGAACCCTCTGCTCATCTGTAGCGTTCTCCATTTATTAGATCTATGGTTCTTGTTGTATTATGTAATGGTTTATGAATATTCATGTTGCTTAGAGGTGGAGTCAAGAGAGATGCTATAAGAGGTGGAGTCAGAGAGTCAGAGAGGAGATTGAGTTTACATCAGGCAGGAGAGAAAAGCCAGACAGAGTAATAGAGTGTGTAGTTTGGGAAATTTAGATGTGATTAGCTACTGAAGACATATGAATCTTGGTAATCAATAAACCAAAGTTTTATTTAAAAGACCTTGAAGTGTGGACCTGAATCTTTTCGAAGTAAATGGTGATTTAGAGATCACCTGGTGGCAGCAAGTGAAAAGAGTGAGGTTTGTTTACCTTCGTGTGCTCTGGGGCTTGAAGGTCAAGCAAGGGGCACGAGGGTGGACGCCACACCATTATTCTCTGGATCCTACTGGTGTGAAGATTCCCACCAATCTACATCAATAAGATGGAAGAGAGTGACCACCCAGAGAAATTTTTGAACATCTTCAAACTTAATGCAAAGGTGGCTGGATGGCCTCAAAACCAATGGGTACTCATAATGACCTTATGCCTCACTGGCCTTGCCAGTGGCACTTGTGGATTCCATGGATATGGTTGACATTGACAATTATGATAAGGTTAAGGAAGCACACAGCAGGAATGTTGGCAAGTACAGATGGGAGTACAGATGGGGAAGGATATATACATGAATTGATTTTTCTGATGAATATAGCCATTTCATTCAATATCCATTGATCCATATTTGTGGGTACCCATTTTTATTTGTACTTCATATTTAAAAAACAACAACAAAAAACCATTCTGCCTACCGGCCGCCGATCAGCTGATCGGTGGCAGAAAGGCAGCCACCACCCACACAGCCACCCAATACCACAACCTACCCCACTCCCTTCCTTTCCCTACCTTAGGCCCAACACCACCCCCACCGACAGCCTCTTAATCAAAGCTGTTGACGTCTCTTGGCCTAGTCCGAGCCATGGCATGTAAAAAGGGAGACTGACTGCCCTTTGCGAAGATTAGCCTACCCCACTCCCTTCCTTTCCCTACCTTAGGCCCAACACCACCCCCACCGACAGCCCCTTAATCAAAGCTGTTGAGGTTTCTTCGCCTAGTCCAAGCCACGGCATGTAAAAAGGGAGAATGGCTGCCCTTTGCGAAGATTGTGGCTGTGGCTTCATTTAGGGTAGGGAAGCTGCAGCTGCCATCATTGCAAAGGGCCTTGTGGGTTTTCTGAATCTTTTGCAAAGTTTAGGTGCTGGGCATCTGAGAGCTTAAATTGTTAAAATTATTATGCACTTTCACTTTTACTTTCATCTAAGTGTGTGTGTGTGTGTGTGTGTGTGTGTGTGTGTGTGGCTACCTATTGGCTTCCGATCAGCTGACGGCCGGTAGGCAGAATGGGCTTCTGTGCCATGTGGTAAACTCTCCTGGGAGAACCCAAGTTGTAGGTGAATAACTTGGATGTCTGCTATCCAATCTTCACCAAAATTGGCAGGCATGTTGCGGAAGGACATAGGAAGCTCCGTTGTGATTCTGGACTCTCTAAGTACCTGGAGGGAGCTTTCCTGAGGCATTTTCTTTATGAGTATATAACTCAGGAGTCTGTGATTCAATGTTCACCAAACTTTCAGGACTTGTAGAAATGTGTCTGAGGAAGTTTCCTGCAAAATTGGTGTCTCTAGGTAGTTGGGGTCCAGTTGTATAGCTGTTTAAAGAAAAGATGGATCGACGGATCAATTCGTCAATTTGTCAGAGAATATTCATATATTCGTATCTGTTGATCTGTTAACCTTGATGGATCACGAATATTTGTCCCCATCTCTACTGGCAAGTCTTCGAGTCAGAATCCTGAGTCCAAGTTTATGTCTTTGTTACCAAGTCCTGAGTCCCAAGCCCCAAGTCTGAGTTCCTATTAAAAGCAAGCTTTCTTCCCCAGAAAAAGGAAGGGACTGGGTGGGTTTCAATTTGCAAGTCAAGTCCAAGTCATTTGGGGGGAAAAACATGAGTCCAAGTTGAGTCACTGGTGCTACATAAGTTTGACTTGACCACAAGTCCTGTGACTTGAATCCCCATCCTTGACACACAGAACTCAACACTCCTGTAAGTGGAAAAGTTACCAGAAATTACAATTACACCACAAAATGAGTGTCGTTATCCCTCACTAAGTTGTCATTGTAATGTAACTTAGTTATACTTTAGTTATTACATATACTATATACTTTAGTTATTAAGTATACAGTGGTGCCCCGTATAGCGACGTTAATCCGTTCCAGGATTAACGTCGCTATA